GCCAAAAAAAAAAAAAAAAAAAAAACACAAAGTTTTGAAAATTATTGGTGTTTAGGGAAAGGAGTATAGATTCAGGACATTCTTAATGTGGCTCTGGGACTTGTGTCTCAGTCCAGGCCTATCTCTGTGTCTTAGAATGAATTTGTGTCTAGATTCAGGCATAAGCTGTGACTGATATAGGTTCGAGGGGGAAGACCCTAAACTGTGACAGATTGGTTGTGTGACTCAATCAGCCATTGGCCCCTGTTCTATAGAGCACTCAGCGGAAAGAACATTTGTGCCACTTAGGGGTCCATTGGGTGGTCACTCATATAGTTCAAGAAAAGTTACTATTTGAAGGTCCATCAGTATTTGAAGATTTGAATTACNCTGACAGTCAGCTGCAGACCATGTGGTTTGGGTTCCAGGAGAGAGCAAGCTTTGAAATTCACAGGTTTAACAACATGGAGTCACTTCTGTCCAGCCTCTGACATTACTACCTAACCTCAGTAGCTGGTAGAGAGGATTTTGAATGTTCCCAAGAAAAGTGTTTGAGGTGATGGATATGCTAATTACCCTAATATGATCAACAGTGACTTTTTTTTTTTTTTAAAGATGACCGGTAAGGGGATCTTAACCCTTAACTTGGTGTTGTCAGCACCACGCTCAGCCAGTGAGCGAACCGGCCATCCCTATATGGGATCCGAACCCGGGGCCTTGGTGTTATCAGCACCGCACTCTCCCGAGTGAGCCACGGGCCGGCCCATCAGCAGTGACTTTTTAGTAGCTGGTATATTACACTTTAATTTTTCAAAACTTTAAACAAAAAGTCTGAACCCACTCACATTTCCCCTGACAGTGAATCCATCTGCTTCCTATCCTCGCAAACCAAATAATATGGGTCTTTAATTTTTTCTAATCTGATGGGGAAATGGTAATTGGCTTGTTTTTCTTGATCACTACTGGGTTTCAGTATTTGACCATTTGTTGATTTGTATTACTATCACAAATTGTCTGGGGGGCCCACTTTATCCTCTTTAACTTTTTTCCCTAGGTGATTTTATTCCATCTAAGCATTATTTAAGAAACTCTTAGAATGATGGTTCAGAATTACTCTCCAGCCTGGCTTTTCCTGGCCATCAGTCATCTGTTTGCAACTGTCTATTGGAGGCTTCCACGTGGATTTCCAGCTGGCATCTCCAAATTCATGAATCTGAAAGAGGAATCTTGATTTCTCCCCAACTCTCCCTGCCGAGAACCTGCCCCTCCCCAGTCTTCTCCATCTCAGTCTATGGAACCTCCGTGCTCCTAATACCTCAAGCAAAAAACCTAGAAGGCACCTTGCTTTCCTCTCACTCCTTTACTCCCCGCTCAACCCAACAGCAAGTCCTGTTGTCCTCCCTCCACATGGTGACGCTAGGTTCTGATGCACCCTCCTGGGGACACCTGGAACCCCTGCCCTTGAACGCTGGCCCATCCTCACTCATCCCCCAGTCACGGGATCACAGTGCTGTCATGTGAGACGCTACTTTGGGGAGTGTGTTTGGCTTCATGTGGGGCCAGTGCAGGCAGAAAACACATGGAGAAGCCCCGGCCAAGGAGAGATCCTTGGGAAGCAGCAGTGAAGGAAGAGCCGTCTGCCAAAGAGACTGAGAGACACTGGCAGAGGCCAGTCAGCTGCATCACCTTCCTGACACATAAAGACAACAGGAAAAGCAGGGATGACTTAGTGGGAGCAACTTCAGTGGAGTGGTAGGGGTCAAAGTCAGGGTACCTCTGGTGGGAGATATGAAAGAGAAATACCAAACATATGAAGATCCCCAGTGAGTCAGTAAGAAAAAGAAACCAGTTATGAAAACGGGTATAGTGCAGAAGGTACCTCATAGAAGAGGAAGAATAAATGGCTTATAGATATATAAAATGAATTTCAACATCATTAGTAACTAATGAACTGAAAAAATTGTGAGATTCACTTCACACCGTTCAGATAGCTGCCATTAAAAGACCGACAACACCAAACATTGTCAAGGATGTGGAGCTGTGGGGTCCCCTATGACTTCTGAAGGGAGTGTGAAGGGGTTCAGCTACGTGCAAAACATCCTGTCGAGGTCCAGTGAAGTTGAAGACTGTGTAATGAGCACCCACCACGGCTTTACACAGAAAAGCGACACGATCTGATTTGCTTTGATAATACTATATAGCGTGTTCCTAAACAGCTGGAAAACAGGATATTGACCATAATCACCATGAAGAAAAAGCAAATGTTTAGGTGATGGGCTCACTATGTACCCTAAGTGAGTCATCATCCAACACATGCATGTGCTGAAACCACACACTGTGCTCCACGTATGGACACAGTTAGATGAAATTAGACATGTGCAGGGTTGTATGGCCATAGACAATATACGTACAATTAAACGGTTTTTTTTAAGTTTTAAAAAAAGATGGCTCTGGTTGCTGCATGAACAACATGCAGTGAGAGGGGAGGATGGGCGTGGGGAGCACTGTGCAGCACAGCAGTGTCTGAGTGAGGTCGTGTGCGGCTCGGATGGGGGACGTGGCAGGGAAGATGGTGACACAGGGTCCCAAATAAGCATGGAGGTGGACTCTCGGCTCCACCTTTTTCAATCATTTATTTTTGTATTGTTGGGCCAACATACGATGTTATAATAAATCTTGATATCAACTAGGGAAACTACATCTCTCTATGTTATTCATTTTTTAGAAAGGCTGAGGTGCCTCCTGGTCAATGACTATTGCACAGGAATTTCAGCGGCAGATTATCAGAGTCCTTGAAAAGCTTTGTGGGGGTTCGGGGAGCTGGCTGGTTAGCTCAGCTGGTTAGTGTGGTGCTGGTAACACCAACATCCGTGGTTCGATCCCCGTACTGGCCAGTCACCAAAAAGTAAATCAACAAACAAGTGAAACAAACAACATTACACAAAAAATGTCTTTGAAAATACGTATTTATCTATTAATTTGGAGTTGGCTGATCCCCTCAAGCTCAGAATCCCCACTGTTGATAAGTAATCAAGGCTGTGGGTGAACTTCACTGCTTGATCCTGGGCTGAGAAGCAGGGAATGGTGTCCCAGGCTTCCAGTCACAGTGCGTAGGTAGCAAGCCCTGGAGAAGGTTGGTGAAGGAACGTATGAGTGAATGAGCCGTCCATAAAGGGATGTCAAATACACGATGTATACATTTATACGAAGATCCCAGCACACACGGGGTCGGGGGTGGAGACTGTCACTCTTGGGTAGTAGCTGAAACCACGTGCTGAGGATTAGATTCCCAAGGGTGTCAAAAAAGGCCAGTCACCAGGGGAGACTCACTTGCACTATATGCCCAGGTACCCCAGAGGCAACTCCTGAGTCATTGCACCTGGGGAAGCCTGCTGCTACCTCCGTCTCGGCACTGCCCAGGCCTGGTCCCCATTCCTCTCCAGCACCCCAATAAGCCTCCACCTGCCGCATGTGCGGTAAAAGGACAGATGTCGCTACTGGCACCTTGGCTGCTGTGTCTGAGCCTATGGAGGTTGAAAACTACTGAAATGACTTTTTAAATCTAGAAAACAGGCAAGGCCCAGTTCTGAAAAGAAATTCTTTAAGGGAAAGAAGGAATTAAAACTGCCTGAGAAAGATCCGGCCCAGACTAGCCGGCGAGTCCTGAGAAAAACAAGATGAGGACTTTTCACATATGCAATTCACTCGGAAAACAAGTCACTGATGAAATTAAGGGCGTTTCAGTGGAGAAGTCACAGGTGGGACAATGAGTCTCACCCTCCACGCCCACCTCCTGTGCAGAAGATGCCATCAGAGAGGAGGATGGGAAATGTCAGCGGGAGCCTGTCCTTTCCGGAATGCTGGTGGCATCTGGAGTCTGTCCAATAGGAAGACAGAAAAGACACTCCACAGGCTTATAAGGCCTGAAGGGGCAGATTCAGAACTTCACGGTGAAGCGAGAGCTTGTGCTGTTGCCTGCTCTGGCCTGGACCGAGGAGGACACGCCCGATCTGCAAGGACGGGAGCAGCTGTCAGTCCGAGCTGCTGCCGAGGGAACCACCGCCCACGCTGGGGACAGAAGGGCGGCTCATATATACGGGCAGAGCCGGACCCAGGGAGAGCGCAGGCACCAGGTGAGTTCACCTCGGACGACGTGAGCAGGTGACCTGGGACTCAGTGAAGGGTCAGGAGTCTAGGATGGAGCTGGGGTCACTACCTTGCAGGTCCAGGATAGGCATGGGATGGTCCTGCGAGGACACTTCACCCCAGTCCGTGAGGACAAAACTGGGGAAATTGCCCTAGCCAGGGTGGTATGGGAGGCCACTCAGAGGAAACGTGGACAAATTAGCTTGGAAGGGACCCGGCCAGCATCGTGGATGATGCAGGCGAGTTCACGGGAGGAAGTGGCACTTGAGAGAAAGTAGGAAGTTCCAGCTGTGGTTGGGGGCAGTGACCCCATAACATTAGAAGATGGGACCCACGTTCTTGCTGCAAACCGAATCCATCTCAATTTGGGAGGTTTCTGTGGCGTTAGAGGAGTCAGGNCAGGCGAGTTCACGGGAGGAAGTGGCACTTGAGAGAAAGTAGGAAGTTCCAGCTGTGGTTGTGGCCAGTGACCCCATAACATTAGAAGATGGGACCCACGCTCTTGCTGCAAACCGAATCCATCTCAATTTGGGAGGTTTCTGTGGCGTTAGAGGAGTCAGGACTGGGAGGGAGCTGGAGTGCAAGGAGAACGCCTGCAGATCTGTGTCAATCGTGAGAGGAGGAAAAGGACACACGACAGATTTTAGAGCTTTGAAATGTAGCAAAAGTGAAAGACGAGGCTCCAAGAAGAGAGTAAGAGAGGGTGTCTTGGCTTGGGGACAGTGACTCGTTACCAATAATGGTTACCCTTTCTAAGAATTTTTTTTTATTAGATAACATTTAAAGCAAATACCCAGTACCAAAATTAGAACAATAAACTGCACGGGCCGGCCCGTGGCTCACTCGGGAGAGTGCGGTGCTGATAACACCAAGGCCATGGGT